AACACAAGGCGGCCGCTTCCCCCCTGCCGCCGTTTAATTTAATTTGAGTGACTTATTGAGGGGGTTCAGCCCCCGGTTGAACCCCCGTTGTCGGGCCATTTTACTTTTTTTTCTTCAAATTCTTAGAAAAAACTTTGACTTCAAATTTTTTTTCGCCTTTTTTTCTTCTTCTTTAACCAAGAAAAGAGTCTAAAATAATAGAACTCTCTTGCTGATTAAAAAGAAGAAGAAAAAAGGCAAAAAAAAAATTGAAAGTCAAAATTTTTCTAGGAACTTGAAGAAAAAAAAAGTAAAATGGCCCGACAACGGAGGTTCAACCGGGAGCTAAACCACCTCAAAAAGTCATCCAAACTAAATTAAACAACGACAGGGAAGAAGCGACCGACATGTGTTTACTTTAAAGAACGCAAACGTACCCACTGGGCCACGCAAGCGGTGCCTGAGAAAGAGATGTAACATTAACGAAGTAGCCATGTTTTCTCTGACTATTTACCTCAACAGTTGTTGACTATACTCAGTTGTCCCGTTCTGTATGGTTGATGACTTCATTGTTTCACAAGTTTGTTCAATGTATTCAGTTGTCCAGTTGCATTCAGCAGTTAACTGTAATCAGTTATCCAGTAGTGTGCAGTTATTGACTGTATTCAGTTGTCCCGTTCTGTACGGTTCAGTGTTGGCTGTATTGCATATGTTTGTTCAGGGTATTTAGTTCTCCGGTTGTTATTCAACTGTGCGTGGTTGTTGACTGTATTCAATTGTTTAGTTGTGTACGCTTGTTGACTGTATTCACTTTTTCTGCTGGGTCACTTGCTAACTATATTTGATTGTTCAGCTGTGTACAGCAGTTGACTGTATTCAGTTTTCCTGTTGCATCCAGAACTTGATCGTAATCAGTTGTCCAGTTGTGTACAGTTGTTGACTGTATTCAGTTGTCCACCTGTTGACTGTATTCAGTTGTCCAGTTGTGTACAGTTGTTGACTGTATTCAGTTGTCCAGTTGTTTACTGTATTCAGTTGTCCAGCTGTTGACTGTATTCAGTTGTCCAGTTGTGTACATTTGTTGACTGTATTCAGTTGTCCAGTTGTTTACTTATTTGTTCACTGTATTCAGTTGTCCGGTTTGGTACAGTTTTTGACTGTATTCAGTTGTCCAGTTGTGTACAGTTGATGACTGTATTCAGTTGTCTGGGTGTGTACAGTTATTGACTGTACTCAGTTAACTAGTTCTGAACACTTGTTCACTGTATTCAGTTGTCCGGTTGTGTACATTTGTTCACTGTAGTCAGTTGTCCGGTTGTGTACATTTGTAGATTGTATTCAGTTGTCCAGTTGTGTAAAGTTATTGACTGTACTCAGTTAACTAGTTCTGAACACTTGTTCACTATATTTAGTTGTCCGGTTGAGTACATTTGTTCACTGTAATCAGTTGTTCAGTTGTGTACATTTGTTGATTGTATTCAGTTGTCAGTTGTGTACAGTTATTGACTGTACTCAGTTAACTAGTTCTGAACACTTGTTCACTGTATTCAGTTGTCCGGTTGTGTACATTTGTTGATTGTATTCAGTTGTCCGGTTGTGTACAGTTGATGACTGTATTCAGTTGTCTGGTTGTGTACAGTTATTGACTGTACTCAGTTAACTAGTTCTGAACACTTGTTCACTGTATTCAGTTGTCCGGTTGTGTACATTTGTTGATTGTATTCAGTTGTCCGGTTGTGTACAGTTGATGACTGTATTCAGTTGTCTGGTTGTGTACAGTTATTGACTGTACTCAGTTAACTAGTTCTGAACACTTGTTCACTGTATTCAGTTGTCCGGTTGTGTACATTTGTTGATTGTATTCAGTTGTCCGGTTGTGTACAGTTGATGACTGTATTCAGTTGTCTGGTTGTGTACAGTTATTGACTGTACTCAGTTAACTAGTTCTGAACACTTGTTCACTGTATTCAGTTGTCCGGTTGTGTACATTTGTTGATTGTATTCAGTTGTCCGGTTGTGTGCAGTTGATGACTGTATTCAGTTGTCTGGTTGTGTACAGTTATTGACTGTACTCAGTTAACTAGTTCTTAACACTTGTTCACTGTATTCAGTTGTCCAGTTGTGTACAGTTGATGACTGTATTCAGTTGTCTGGTTGTGTACAGTTATTGACTGTACTCAGTTAACTAGTTCTGAACACTTGTTCACTGTATTCAGTTGTCCGGTTGTGTACAGTTATTGACTGTACTCAGTTAACCGGTTGTGAACATTTGTTCACTGTATTCAGTTGTCCAGTTGTGTACAGTTTTGACTGTATTCAGTTATCCGGTTGTGAAAATTTGTTCACTGTATTTAGTTGTCCGGTTGTGTACAGTTCTTGACTGTATTCAGTTGTCCAGTTGTGTACAGTTGATGAGTTGTTGACTGTATTCAGTTGTCCGGTTGTGTACATTTGTTGATTGTATTCAGTTGTCCGGTTGTGTACAGGTGTTGACTGTATTCAGTTGTCTGGTTGTGTACAGTTATTGACTGTACGCAGTTAACTAGTTCTGAACACTTGTTCA